TCAGTTTACGATGTAGAAAAAAAAGAACCACCTGTGAATTCTGGATTTGTTTTGTAAATAAAATGATTATTTTTATAAAATGTTGAAGTATAGGCTTGTTGTATTAGTGCTAAGTATGACCAGCTCTATCTCATGAAGTCAAAATACATATATGTTTTTACTACAGTGTTTCTTGTCAAATTGGCTTAATTTACATCAGCCAAACAACGAGAGCTTTGAAGTTTCGCCCTAAGAAGCATGAAATGTGTGTTATAAGGGAAAAAAAATATATAAATTTGCATTTCCCCCACCACCCCCACAGACGCACATGTTTGGTCCAAAAATTCATATTTTCCGTTTCTCTGCAATCAAATTATTAAAAAAAAAACTTCCGTTGGCGAGATAATATGCCCTAGAAGTGTTTCATAAAAATCTTTTAGTTCTCCTTAATGTCTCAGTTCTAATCCGTGTTTACTTCCAGCTTTTAAGGGAATTATTTTGCAGTTATTTTCATCTTTTGGTAACAGATGGCGCCAGGGGCATCGTTTTTCTCTTCCTTGGCTGGAACATTATCAAATTTTTGGTCTTTGATTATGGCGTAAGCGAACCGCCCAGACGGGAAAGTTGTTAGTGACTGCCATACCGAAGTGCCCGGGTTGAAATCCCGGAGAAGACATGAATATAAATTGTATGTCCCTTCAAAGGAGGCAACGTTGGCCAAAAGTGAAGCTGCTAGAGAGTGAGATTCGTTGAAAAGATAATAGACTATAAAGAATTATAAAAGTTTATTCATCAATGGAAAGGCACAGGGGACATAAGGATCAGAGCCGTAAGCTTTTGTTAGCACTGGTGGCTATTACGCACTGTTATGCGTTATGCATCCCCCCCCCTTTTTTTTTTTTTTTTTTTTTTTTTGTTTGTTATTTGTGATGCATTTTTAAACATAAATTTCTATTAAAACATGTTTTAAAATTGTTCCTATTGTATGCTAAACATTTATAAATATGCATGCAAGTTAAGAATTAAAATAAACGTAATTTTATCAAAACTGAGCATTTCGAACAGACTATGTAAATGCTTAACTTTTTAATTAAGCTTGATTATAAGACAAATGCTTTAATCAAGTTTGTTAAATTTATAGCAATAAAAATAAATTTATTAAATTTATGCCACTTGTAGTTTTTGTAATTAATATATTTTCGGTTTGTTAGAAGGCTTTCGGTTTTTTTAACAAATTGCTCTAGTATTAGCAGCAAAACTTAACGGAGGTAACAGCGGAGGAAGTAAAGAACTCTTTTCCTGTAAAACACTCATAAATATAATTAGAAATTCCTCAGTGTTAAACATCCCATTTCGCAGTTCTTCCTATATATGGTGCGTTATATTTTTCATTTGTAGTACATGCTTTGTATTTCATTTTTATCATGGGTAGAGATGACCTCATTTTTCAGTACAAAACTTCATAACTTATTATCGAAAAACTTATTTTAGACCGCGTCTTACGAACAAGATATTCCATGCTTTTTAATTTTCAGGTAGTGGGAATTGCCAATTCAATTTCTAATGTTTCACATATTCATCGTAATTCTCGAACCGAAATTGTTTACCGTAAATCTATTTTGTTTGCTTGCTTGCTCCTCTATGCAAAATCATGTCACTTTGCCAACTAAATAATATCTCCTTTCTAATATTACATATATCCTGCTCCCAAAATTTGCTTTTCAGAATACTTGCTTTCTATGAAACTAATTATTTGAAACTGGTTTCCATTGAGAGAGGATTTTCTGTCTGAGACAGTGATGAAGCTTTTCAAAAATGTTCCTCTTTCTTGACAAACGTTCTTCAGCTATTAAAAATAATCCTAACAATCTTGCCGTCATATCATTTCATCTCTCATTCAGTTACAAAATTGCTCGGATTCTCCACAAAATGAATTTTCAGGTAATGTTTGCAATCTGTCAATAAATTTGTTGTTCAATTCTTAAAAATTTCATCCCTGATTTTAAATCTTGTGGAATATTAGCTTAACGTGGTTTGTCATGTTTAGGAATACGTCTTCTTTAGGATGATGGTAAAAATTTTATAGGTTATAAATCAAATTTTTTTTCAAAAAATTTATAAAAATTATTTTAAAAATACAAATTTTAAAAGTAAATCATAAAAAAGATGTGTACACCACATGACTTCCTTGTACAGAATATTAAATTATACGTATTTTTTCCTGCATTTCATTTAAACTTATCGAATTGAATTAATCTACTTCGTCGATAACGCATAAATCACAGTAAAATAAATGCCTTTTTTAAAATTCACGATATTTTATTTACCATGGCCAGCAATAAAAATTATTTATCTTAGATTTTGAAATCGTAGTAAATCAAATTTGTGTGAAAAAAATTCGGGCAAAATCAGAATTAAATGTGCATCCGTTTCTTTCAAAAGTGTTTATATATATATATACATATTTACTAAAGAAATATTGATTATATTATCTCCTAAGATTAATTTTAGAAGAATTATCTTAAAAGAGTGAATCCATAGTTAGTAAGTAGTAGAATAACTCGATTTCGCACTAAGTAAATTTAAGATCATACAACATATATCTATATATATATATATAAGGAAGGAACATACATATGTATAAAAGATCGCTGAACATAGGCATCACTCTATTCCAGAATTTTCGACGCCTTGACGATGTACTATATATAAATTTATAATGTACGCAAAACATACGGGTTGGGCTCTAGTGTAGAATTGAGTGCCCTTTCGATGAGCGATAAAATTTTTTTTTTTTTTTCTTTTTTTAAATTTTGGCGATGAAACCTCACTTCTGGTTACCATGATAGTTTTAACTTTGTTTTAGTTTCCTGATTTTATTTAAATGAAAATAGATTGATATGTACATGGACAAATTAAAGGCAGTGCGCAATGCCTAGTTTGTGCAATTCTAGGATTTTTTTTTTTTTTTTTTTTTTTTTTTTGGGTGAAAACAGATCGATGTATACATGGACAAAGAGTTTGTGCAATTCTTTGACTTCTTATTTTGGTTTTGTGTAGCGGTCATCTTGAAATTGTGCCTTCCTGGCCCCGATCTTGGCGTCAAAAAAGAAAAAACAAGGGGCACCCAATTGTAAACTTTTACCGTTCGGTTCTGAGAGCAGCTTAGTTGGGCGCTTTATAAAAATCGGTGCCATAGGAGACTGCTTGTGTCGCTCTATAGTTGAAGCTGCTTCTGAATACAAGGCATCGTTCATTCTATTTACATCTCATTTATGAATTCTTCAGTAAGAGACATTCAATAATGTACATGATTTCAGATATGAATTTTTCAAAATAGGGACATTAAATAATGAGGTTTAGATGCTGTCCCGGCAAAAATTTTGTTCCCTTTTAGAAAACCGAATAACTGTCATTTTCCGTGCTTCATGGTTTCTTATGCAACCTTGACGTTAACGGAAGTCTCAACAAACTGCTATCAGGAAGTGCTGTCTCTGTCTTGCGTCATACCAGTTCGCAAGCAAGAGAACAAAAATAATCTTAAAGTATTTTGGAATTCATATTAAACTCGGCAGGAAGAAAGGATTATTGTGATTAATAATGCGGCTACAATCCGTTAAATAAAATGATCATATAAATAAATTATGCACATTTTGCTAGAATATTACCATTTTTGATTTAATTTTCAGATTCCAGAATGTAATTAATGCATAATTCATATCATGGCAAATTCGAAACCTTAAATGTTGCTTATATTAAGTAAGGGATATTATTTTGAATTCACGATCATGGCTGTTTATAATAATTGAATTTCTAAGCTAATCTGAATTTTTATACTTGAAATTCTATATTTAGTTTTTAATCATCAACTAGTTACTTCAAGCTCCTCATTAATGAAAAAGAATTCTTTTTATGATAATTAAATACAGTTTCCATATCTAAAACGTTTTATTTATGCATAAAAATTTATAATAATAATGTAAGAAGTAATTCGCTAAATCTCACCTCAGATAATGTATAATCCCAATTTAAAAAAAAATATATATTTAGAATATTGTAAACAGTAAATTATGTAATCAAATAATAATAAATATGCGAAAATAAGTCTCGCAAATATAATAAATCATTTCTTGAAAAAGGATCGAAATTCTTTAATATCACCCAACAATGAATTTCCCAAATATGGTAGTTTTGAGGAAAACCTTTTAGAGTACCACTTAAATTCTTTTTCAAACCCAATTCTGACTTTTAATTAATTAAAAGATTGTAAGCGTCATGAAAGTAAAATACATATTACAATTTTTAATTTATTTATTACAAATGCAAAATGGATTTTTTATTTAACGAATGATTAGACAAATATGATTTTCTTCAAGAATATTTTTGAATAATCTGACAAAAATGAAGATTTCGCATGACATTTTTAAAATTAAATAATAGTTAAATTTTTTTTCGAAGTTCCAGTTCTCACACGATTCTTATTCTTCCTGTTATTCTATTAAGTGTTTCGATGTAGGAACTGAAGTTCGAAATTATTAAGTCAGAAAGACTGAAACAAATACACTTTAAAAATGATATAACATCCATACCGTCTATATTGATAATTATTCTAAAAATAAAATATTAATAGTTATTTAATTCCGTTATAATCTCACTTTCGAGGCTTAAAATTAAAATTAACGCATGAAGCTTATAAACACTACACATATTGCAATTTACCTGATATTTAAGACCGAAACATTTAAATTAATAATCATCACAAGTTCTTTAACATCTAAATTCTATACATATAATTTACTAAATAACATTTAATTTTATACATAATATATTTTAATGTTTATAGTGAAACTATTTCAGATTTTTACCTTCTTAGAACGGCTAGACGAAATATTATTCACATATAGTTTTAAACAACACAGTTTATAAATATTTTTCTAAAATAATTTCATAAAAGTAACAGTAACAACATTGGCTACTTGCCATGTAAAACTAATAAATGATCGCATTATTAACCAACTTACTAGCAACAGTGCAAAATTCTCAGATGCCAATTTATGTTAAATGTCAGGAAAGAGAAAGATTCAAGAATAATGCTTTTCAGAGAACGCTTATGCACAGATGTCTTTACCTCAACAGTCACTCGGAGAATGAAGCTTCGCGATCTCCGAGCGAGATGGAGAAATCGTCTGCGAAAGGGGCAGAGCATGCGCAGTGAAATATCTGCAGTAGGCAGAGAGCTTGTCGCCATGCTCAGTCTACTGCTCTAGACTGGAAATATTTTTTATTTACTTCTTAGCATTTTACAGGAGCGTTGCTAGGGTTAGAAAATAATACCTTCCTAAGAGGTGATGATCAGGTGCATGCATGATTCTTTTTTGCTTTTCGTTCTCTCGACTTTTTTGTTAGTCATGTTTTCCAGCGCTGAATTGCGTAAGGATGATGAGCATTTGGGCTGAATTCTCAAAAGGCTGTGGTACATTCTGAAGCTGAAACAAGGTGATTAGCCTGCTACTTTTTCAAAATAAAATATAGAAAAATATGTTTTAAATTTTATAAAGCGTAAAATATATAAATATATGTATAGCGGAAAATCACGCAAAATGTACAAATCTTATCTTTCCGGAGAGTAAAATTATTTCGTTGCAATTTCACATTTGTTGAAACTTCTAAAAAATTAATATCAAATAGAATGACAAAATTAGGTATTAAATACCATCGTAAATAAACTACAGGAAAATTAATATTCTCATTGTTTCATACATTAATTATAACTTAAAAAGTAAATATCATGTTTAATTTGATGGATGAGCCTTTAAATTGAAACTTCTAAAAATTTTAAATCATAGCGTTATTATTTAAAAGTTAAAAATGTTAATTTATTTTTAACACAGCATTTCCTATTAAGATAGCATCAATCTGGCAAGTGGATTATGCTTCAAGAAGTATGAATGTAATATTCTAAAAAATAATGAATAAAAAAATTTTAAATTTTAAAATCTAAAATCTTTCAGATTTTACATTACGCCCAAAGTGGTATTTCTTTAACGTTTTGTAGCTTATCTTTATTTATTAAGTATCATGTTCTTCGCATTTTAAACATAAAATTCGATTCAACAGCAATATCGCAAAATAATTTTAAAATGAGCCTATCTTTAGAATTTGTGATGCACAGTTTCGCGCGCTAATTTTTTTTCCCCCGTACAGTGTTGCCATTGCTGGCTTTTAAATTTTTGAGTTTGTTAATCAAAAATTCGTTAAAGCTTTGCAAAATATGAAATAAATAATAAAGCAAATTCCATATTTAAAATTTGGACTTCCAGATGCCCATATTGGTGTGGATTCGTACGCTATTCAAAATTTGATGGCTCTAGGTACCGTTGTTTTATCACAATGAAAAAAACATACCTACATTTATGCAGCTTCTTCACTATTTAATTTCTTTAAATATAATACAGGGCTCTAATATTTGGTGGCAACAACTTGGAAAGTGAACTGACATTTATAGTGAACCAACGCAAAATGCCAAAACGAAATTAATAGTCCTTTTGGGCAAACTGCCCCTTTGGACTAAAACATCCCACTAAAGAGGAGGTAAAAAGAGTTTTCATCAATTAGATATATATTGCGTGAGAAATAACTTTTAATAATTACAATAATGCCTTAAATGTTCGTAAAAATTAGCAGTTGGATGTATTATCATTTAAATGTACTTAAAATTGTATCAGTTAGATAATTACCTTCTTAATAATCTCAGTTAGAGAAATTATACAATTGTAATTTTAATAATTAAACAATTAAACAATTATATTATTAATAATTTCAGTTAAGGAATTCAAGAAACACATCCAAGGAATAAAAGTTCTTAACACCATTATTCATAGGTACACGCTTAAAATTAAAACGAAAGTCAAAAGTCTTGGGAACATAAAATGCTTAAATATTCATAAACCAATATATAAATTTTATTACTATACATCCCGGCTCCAAAACAAATATGCATTGAAAGCAACGTTGTGAAACTGGTTATTTGGAATGAGGTAAATTCTATGATTTTTCACTCTCATGCAATGCCATTGATAATAAATCGAAATGATAATAAATGATCAAGTAAAGTAAGCATATTTCGTAAGTGCACATCTGTATCGCCACCAAGGGAGTGCCTTCTAGAATGCACCAATGGTCTTCCAGTAACATTTCCGTCATTTCACATGACCTTTGCAAAGCTTTAAGCAAGATGCTTAAAAATGTTTTGCCACGCAATTTCTTGTACAAATCAATTGAAGCATCGTGGATTTCTTGTGAAAATTTTCAGTGCGAATTTAGATCCAACATAAGCGTCATTATATATGTAAATAGTACAAGTTTCAGCATTTGTTTATTGCAATTTTTATGAAATAGTTATTCTATAATAATAGCCAATGTACCAGTAAAGTGAAGTTTCCTAATTTGCCTTCCTACACATACAGGGTGTTAAATTTCACAATAATAACTGTTCACTGTTAAATGTATTGCCTGCATAAGAAATAATCTTTGGACAGAATGAATTTATCTTATTCAAAACGAATCACAACGAATGTATTTAATTTATTAACCGCCTAGCCGATATAATGGTTAGTGACCGAAATGCCGTCGCATGAACCTCCGACCTAAGGAAGGTTCTACACCAATCAGAGTTATGTCCATGCGATGGAAAAGAATCTACCATCCACCGCCAGCGGCATTCATTGAATCAATGATAGTAATATTACAATGCTAAATTGGCAATGTCATCTTTACAATATTTTTTACATAATAATTCGTATGAAAAATAAATATACAATCAATTAATCAAATCATTACAATATCATGGACTGGATCTATGCTGTGGAGAGTGAACTTATGTTATATATTAACCAGTCTCTAAACCTGTGTTGACTTCAATACGTCATAACTTCACGTTCTTATCAGTTACACACCTAATGATGTGTGTCCGTACTATTGTTTCAGTTATCCACAGAGGCCGTGGTAATACAAAAATAGTGTGCAAATTGCTAAGGCCGAAACATCAGTTTAAGGCAGCTGATAGTTCCATAGCCCAAAGTTTATGACGTTGTGTAGACTATTCTATGTTCATATAAACTGGATTCTAAGTTAACTTTTGGTAAATTCGACGTACTCTTTTGTTAAGTTCATTGTTCACGTAAATATTTGTCCACTTCGATACATCATAACTTCGTATCCTTAGCAGTTTGCACAACTCATTATGTGTGTCCATAGCAATTTGCATACTGTGTCGCAGTTATCCACAAAGCAATAAAGAAATTGCAGTTGGGAAGTTCATAGTAATATGTACACTATTTTACTATTATCCACAGAAGCAAATGTTTTGTAAATAATAACTTGGCTCCCAGATGATCAGAAAAAAAGAAAAAAAGAAGGAAAGAAAACTAATTCTTAAATTTTTTCAATACAATTGTAAATTTTGCGAAACGACAGATTTGTTACATAATTCCAGTCTATACAAATTGACTGGTATTCCAACAATATAAAGCACATATTCTAAGAAATGCTATTATTTATTCCATTACATGTATCTAATTGTTTATAAAAAGGCTACAATAATACACAATTTCTTCAAGTAGTTAAAAACGTCTACTGAAAACAAGAACTAATTCCCAAATAAAGACATAAAATACATAATTATTCATACATATGATTTACCATCAATCATACCATAAAAAATAACCCAACAGTATTGCGAAACGACAGAGTTACATAATTCCAGTCTATACAAATTGACTGGTATTCCAACAATATAAAGCACATATTCTAAGAAATGCTATTATTTATTCCATTACATGTATCTAATTGTTTATAAAAAGGCTACAATAATACACAATTTCTTCAAGTAGTTAAAAACGTCTACTGAAAAACAAGAACTAATTCCCAACTGTAATAGACATAAAATACATAATTATTCAGTACATATTATTTACCAATCAATCATACCATAAAAATACACATGCTTCCAATGCTGCAACGAATTTTCCATTACAGTTAGAACATTTACCAATGAATCATACTACAAATGTACATGTTAAAAAAAATTGCAACTAATTTTTCCTTACAGTTAACCCATTAACTGCCAAATTTTTATTTCATCAATTTTTATTTTATTTCTGTTAGTTTTCATCTAAATAATAAGAAAAACATGTTTTTCTCATAAATGCGTCAAATTTTTTTTCAGAAATTTTAAATTTAAGTCTGATCCCCAAATGGGGATCATGGCTGATACTATCTACTTTTAATGCCAAGTCTACGTGTAATCCAACATTACATTTTCCACATTGTTTTCTTGCATTTGTTTTTGCACACTGCACATTTTCTTTGTTTACCATTTTCGGTCTGTTCAATATAATGATTACCAGATGTTCTGATAACAGTAGGAACACAATTAATTGATGCTTTAGTGAAAGAATTCCTTCCACCCTTTTTTGCATCTGAGAGTTCTGAAGATAAAGCAAGATATCCTCATAGCAACCATCCTCCTAAAATCTAGCAATGGAATTTTATCATTTGAAATACAATACAGTGCGTGGGCGTTAACCAGTGTTACGTTGATGGCATTAGTAAGCAAAGGAAAACACCATTTTCCCCCTTATTCTGATTCTTGTATTTTTGAACATTCCAATCCATCTTGTCTACTCCACCCATGTATTTGTTATATTCTGATATCAGTTTGGGTTGTGGTACTTGAATATCTTTCTTCTCTGTTCTACTCCATGGCTTCACCTCTGATATTGGTTCGCTAGTTTCATGATTAGACAGAAGCCTTACACAACTCTTGTCATTCCACGTGACAGCTAAAATTTCATTACGGGAATCAAATCTGTAGTCATATGCCCCCCGCGTTCTTTTTTCCTTATCTCTTCTGTCTGTTGCAATAGGGCATTTGTTCATTCTTTTGAATCGAACAGTTCCTGTTGCTCTAACGTCAATGTCCTGCAAATGTTTCATCAGAGAAAATCCTGTGAAAAAATTGTCGAAGTAAACTTTGTGAGCATTTGGTGTCTGAAGAATAGATACCATCTGAAGGACAACAAATGTCCCAAGCCCACTGATGCTTTCATCATCTCCTAATTTCTTTGATTTGCCTTCATACACTTGAGTCTGATAACAATATCCAGTCTGTGAACAACA